TTATTGCGCTACTTGAGCCATAGATTATCTAGCACACTGGGCTCCTTTCTGACCCAGATCACACCTTCTACAGTGCTCCTTGCCTCTCATGTTTCTTGAAAGATCATTGATATATTCCCCTTGATGAATAGCTATTCAGCTCAGTATTTACCCGTGGAATTCGGCCACCTTATCCACAGAACCTTCTACCCAAAAAAATAAAATGGTAGCAATGGAAACCGCGTGCATGGGAAAAGCCTCAAAAGACCTGTAGCCCCAGCCAGGCGAGGCCTAGACACCGGGACCACATGAGGTGCATATATTCATCTACATCTCCCTTCTTTGTAACAGTCGAGGTCGACTTGATCCAATCCACCATCTCCGTATCGGGTGCTAGGTACGCTCTGGAAACTCATCGGATGGCTTCTCCTCCATAATCAAGTGTTGGTGATGAGTAGGGCTCCGACTCCACCATCTGATTTGATCGTGGTTAGCTTCATGATAATGGTGATAGGGAGATTTGTTAAAAGATGAAGACGATACAGACAGCGAAAGCGATTGGGAATCCTCGTCGAAGTGAGAACTTCATAACTCAATCTCGGCTCTACAGACTCTACAGTGAGAGCTGGAGGTTCGTAGGGGACACCACTGACAGGTGTTGAGAAAAGTTCCCTCAAAGCTAGTTAGTGCTGCGTCATATTATCTGGGCCGGTCTTTTAAATGAATTCCGTCTAGCTTGGACAAATATCCCACTCGAGACAGTTGATTGATAGCTCAAACCCAGCAAAACACTACCATATTTCTCGCGGGGTTAGTACGTATGGAGGAGGGCCGACTAATTTTGTATGCAAGCACAACTCAAAGTAGTATTTGCGAATAAAACATGGAATATGAGTGTCTTTAACGTCAAAAAAAGTCATATAACATGTAAAAATTGCACTAAGCAAGTGTCATAGCTAGTTAGATGAATAAAAATTGGGTGATATAAGCAAAATAAATGTCTGACGCGCTTCAAAGTCCGATAAAATCCCATTGGATCTAACACGCTACCCTAAACCACGGCAGTTTTTTAAAATTTATGAGGCCTGGCATCCTCACAGCCTATCCCAAGCTTGCGGTTCTTTAGTCGTCGTTTTAAAACTTTCTGCCAACATTCTTAATGCTATCTCGGGATTGCCGACATAGTTAAGTTTTGAGCAATGTAAGAGACTCCTATTAACCATAAATAAATAAATTATTCAGCTGCCCTGATTTGGCGCCTTGAGGCCCATGCAGGTTTTACAAGAGGTTTGGTCATTGAAATAAACATGTACTAGGTCATTCTTGTAGATTTAATGATGCTTTGGTAGGAATCGATCTCATTGTAAGAGAGATATTTAATTGGCGTTAAGTACTAAACATTACCTCATGAGCCAACCTCTTTGGTATTGCGGAATTTGCTTAAACTTGGCTCGGGGAGAATATTTCACTCCTAGGTTCATAGAGGATACTGAGTTCAGGTGTTCAGTCCTTGCCCTCCTTATCAGACATTCATAAAGATCCAAACTTCCAGAGATATTCCATAATCTCTTGCACAGTAAAGCTCGATTATAAGCCTGGTTTTAAACCATTGACAATACCCCTCAGTGGAACTTAAAACCGGGATGGATCCGATTCAATTCCCTCATGTGAAGACTTCTAGGATTTATAAATCCGCCCAGGCACAATAATGGGTCGAATTATCCAACTATGAAAAGATCGAGCAATTTCGTGGAAGGTGGATTAAAGGATTTCGAACATTTTTGTTCAAATTCTTATCATGCTTATCATTAGGAATACATTACCGAATTATTTTTGAGGGTTTTGCACAAGTGTTGTGGTCATATTTCTCAGAAGAATCCATCGCCTGGCTTTTGGTTTAGCTAGCACTAATGTGAGTTTTAGTCCTTGATTAGGTTGATTAAACATTTCTTACAATATGAAAGAAGCATCATCTGGGATTGATGTTAGGCGCAAGTTCTGAGAAGGTGGTTGTGTAGTTGAATCATCAATATCAGAGTAAATTGAAACTTTGGGTGCCACTAACTCTAGGTGATTTCGAAATGAGAGGCCTATGAAATTAAAAATATCACATGGCTTGACTATTTCCATATGCTTCTATCCCGAAATTTTCGAGGTACATCTTTAGCAAGATGGCTCCACCTTTACCAAACTGTATGAAAATTTATATGATTGGAGGGAAAATGGACCTTTTTATTTTTTTTTTTTTGCATCAGATTTTAATTGCGTATGCAGCTATCTAGCTATGACACAATTTCAAAGAAAAGTACAGAATAGATGATTCAACGTAAAGGAAGAGCACTCATGCCTCAGATTTCATTTGCAAGTACCACTGCGAAGTTATGGCGGCTTTTCCTTCACCCCAAGTCAACCCTCATCCGTGAATACCCACCCAGGGGAACATCTCAAAAACCCTGAGTCATCCAGACATGCCGAAAATGGATCTGGAAAGATGCAGCAGTAGAATTGTTGACTTTGCGACAGCGAATTCAAGGAAGTCGATCTAGATATTATCGATCATGATTGCGGGCAACGCATCACGCAAATACCGACCTAATGCCGACCTAAGAAGCCTTCGACGCACGGTCCAGATGGCATGGACACGCTCTCTTGAGTTCATCTCACAGGGTTTCACAGATATCTTTGTGCGGAACAGCCCGTATCCAACTCTCTTCCAGCAGCATGGACGATTCCAATAGGATGACTCAACTAAAAATCAGCCAAAAATATTGTCCTATCGTGGTCAAGGTCATGACTTTAATGATCCTTACGCATGTTAACAAATTCACCTTTACACAAAAATAATTGGTGAGTTTTCACTAATGAACAGAGATCAGGAACAACAGGTGCTCAGCCTCGTCTAGTACAACACACACATACACTTGTTTATCTCGAAGAATTCTGACCAAGTATTTCCGATAAGTTTACCCCGCAGGATTCCATGTCCAATTCTCGCTCTCAGCCAATAGAGCTCCAATGGGAATCTTTGCGGAACTCGTTTCTTAACACAATTTTTCTGTCTTTATTTCTGATAGAAACGCCGCACTCTATGGGCAAATTTCCTCTACCTCAAACTACCCTGCAGAGAGGATTTCTAGAAACGATTAAGGATGACGCCAGGATAAATCTGTTATACTACAACCTCTTATTTCATTGAAAGTTATGCGCGGCAAACTGAAGCATATGTGGTTCTATCATACGAGAGTGGTTTTGACACTAAGACTCAGGTTAGGGCCGAGAGGAGTTCCCAAGTATTTGACTCCGCTAGCAGTCGCTTGACGCAACCAGAGGACTCAGTCGATCACTCTAGTCACTCTGATAACCTGGCCTCAAATAGATGATCCTGCGTTCCTGGCTCTTAAATGACGAGCTTGCCTTGGCGTTTTTCAGAGCCAAATAAAAAAAATGTGGATAGATTTGAATTTGATTTCATTTAGCCCGATTTGGCGCCTTAAGGCCCATGCAGGTGTCTACGAACTCTAATATTTATATAGGAGAAAACCTTTATGGTAAAAGCCCCCTCAACTTTTCAATTTATTTACACTTTAAGTTTGTGTTACCTTCACGAAGTTCACTAATACTGTTATATCCAGTGCGGATACCGTCCACTTCATTGCTACTGGTAGGAGATCATCTTTCCCTTGCTCTCCCCTCTCTCCCTCATTGTGGCCTCGACTTCAAGCGTCAGTCGAAACTGCTCTAGTCTTCCTTCCTGTTGGATCCATCTGGTTATCCTTGCCATGTCTGTGGGATTGTTCATCATGGCCTCAAATGCCCGATTCTCTGCCATTCTCAGTATTTCTCCTCTACCTTTGGCCCAGCTGGTGCAGGCCATGATCATATGCTTCACATTCTGGGACGGATATCCACATTGGTATCGTGGGTTATCTACTCCTGGAACTTTTCTTCTGTGAAGATAGGAATTGAATCCAATGTGTTCGCTTCTTGTCTGCATGGCTATGCTGCTCTGGGCCCTTCTCAGGTGTTTATGGATACTAGAAGGTGTTCGTCTTTGGCTCATTCCTGTCTTTCCTGTCTTTTCATCTGTATAAAGATTTACTGCGTTCCAATGTGGATAGATTATCGATATTTTTATCATCAATAAATTCTTGATGAGCATAGTCTGAGTCTACTTAAATATGAAGAATCAACCCCCTTAGTGATAGTCTGAGTAAAACTACTGACGCTCACTATGAAAGAGCTACTGCGGTCTATTCCGGTGCACTAGCCTCTGATGGATTATACAAAAATCTTTCCCACTATCTACGTTCAGCTATGTTGATCAACATAATTCATTTTATATAAAGCAGGGGGAAAAATAGAATATAAGGGTTTTGAAAGAGATTTTGGTAATATCTCATAACTCTTCCATAAATGCGTTATTTAAGTTGTAACATAGCTCTGGCTGGCGTGGTGTACACAGAAAAACACGGAGATTGATTTATACATTTTAAATTATTCTATGATAATTCTAAAACTGAAAGGTTTGCCGGCTTTGAATTTTAGTCTTGTGATATGCTTGCTCCTAAAACCAATTGGTGCAGTAATTTGATCCTGGTCCTATTCATGTTTCCTTTGTACCAATAAATTTCATCTTCATAAATATCCCTTAAAATAGTACACCAGGCGTACTCTCAATATTGAGTCAACTATTCACAGCTTTAAAACAAGTTGATTTATTCCACGACTGAAGTGCGCAAAATACTGTAGGAATTGACTCAGCAAAGTACCTAGTGAAGAATAATGATGGGAGACTTTACTTTTCAAGGCTTCTGTCGAAATCATCAATTGGTTCATGCATAGTGTATGAAATGAAACGAAGCTTTTATACACTTTGCAACGATAGAAAATTCACCTGAACTCCCCTTCCCTGTTATATCCTTGGCCAGTGCTGTAAGCGCGCCCCCTGGACTTGATGGGTATACCATACGATCTACCCAAAGTAAACATTATTGTTGTCAATATAATTCGTCCCTGTTCTACTATACTGAATTAATTCGTTTCCGTCGTTCTCGTTCCATAATGGATAAGATGGTGATTACTGCCATCAGCTCGAACCTCTCGCCCAGTCTACTTCTATCTTCGACGAGGAAGTTCATCTTGCCTAACTTCTTGGTGCTAAAGCTTGGTCGTGTCCAGGTTGCAACTATTTCTCCAGTATCACAGTTTACAAGTTTTAATCCATTGTTGCGGCTATCGAGCGATATTAAATCTCGTTCTTGATTTTGACGCCATGCAAACTGTACTTTTGATCCGCTTCCCGGAAGTTGCACGATAAAAACCATGCTAGAGTCCGAGGTCTCAGCACTTTGTGCCTTGATAACCGAAGTTGGGCTATCATATATATTAATGGCTGCGGTTTCCGAGAAAACGTGAAGATTAGCCGTAGCTAGATACGGGGCTGACGCATGAGGTAAAGCATGTAGAACGACACTTGGCTGCTTGCTAGTGCCAGCATGTATAGAAATGTAGAAAAGAATGTGTGGGTCATCGGCATGATAGGAAATGATAAAATCAGAAGCAGATCCAGCAGCACGATAAAACCCAAATTCCTTGGGAAATCGATGGACAGGTTGATTTGGTAGATGGACAGGTAAATGCTTAATTTTGGCCTGATTCTGTGGACCACATGATGAGTTTGGTCTCGATGTTTTGAGAGAAGGTAATCGTGGAGATAGTCGCGGGGATATGCGTACTCCGCTGGTTGGTGGTGAGGCAGAATATGGGGGTGGAGGCTCATCCATTATGATTTGGTGGGGTGGTATCATTGCGGTGATAGAGCAGATAGCCTTGACTGATGTCCTGAAGGATGTAATATAGTAGGGGTAGGTATAATTGCAGAAGTCTTATTTCTAGCTCGGCCTCGGCCAGCTATCTGGAAGAGGGAGGGGCTCTTTTATGACGGAGTTGTTTATATGGATGTGAGTAGGGATGGTACAGAATGCACAGCTGTGTGGGTCTTAGTCACCAGGTGGCTCAAGCCCACCATCTCATGTCCCAGGATCTACACCTGCACAAGATAGAAGCATGACATCTTCGCTTACTGAGGGGAGTGTAGATCAACGGCCTAGTCAGCCCTCTGAGCGATAGAATGTACGCATGGGATACATTCATCATCCATGTAGACACATGGCAGCGATCCGGAATCCCCGACAACCATCGAGAAGGCTTACAGAAGCAATTTAACTGAGCAAATAAGCCAAGTCCGGCCTCGGTGAGCAGGGCGAGGGTTCATGCCAGTAGCCGGTCTATCTGATTAGACCCAATACTACCTTCACTCTCGGCTTCCGATTGCTAATTTAATAGAAGGGTACCCAGCATATATTGTGGTTTCATGCACCTCGGATTGTGGAGAAGCCAGATCCCTACCAGGCCTGGCTTCTCTTGAACTGTTGCAATCACCCAAGGAAAAGCTTACTTGTAGGATCATGGTGACTTTGCGGCTCAGTCCAGCAATGATAACGAAAGTATGTATGTTTCCACCAAATGTCCTCAGATTATGCTAATGATTGTGCGATGAGATTCAGACAGAGCAGACCTTTTAGTCAACGATATACACGCAGAACTTTTTAGTGATATTGATACTTGTTCCGCCTACGTATGCCATGAATAGAAGACGGTTAACACCCATTTACTTACATTATCGAACCATGGGTCTAAGCCCTTTTTTTGCGGAAATTTCCTCTCGTTTGAGTTGATTGAGACAAGGAGGCGCTACAGATGTTTGAGGCACAGGAGAAACTCGATAAAATAGGCAGCTATGAGTGTTCTAATTCTCGACATATTTCCAAGGTAATCCGGGGCAGCGGTTCAACTGCAATAAATATCTTAATTAGATATGTGAATTCATTGATCCAATGCAACATTATCTCATGTACATGTCACTGATGCCATCGACAACGACTGATGAGCCAAGTGTCAAACTCTTTAAAAGTTAATAAAAGTGAAACAAGAAAACTGTCTAGATTATTTCAGACCCTTGTTTAGATTCTATAGTGTTCTCCCTGATCAAGGAGGTTCTAGGCTATGCTACCGTTTTGTAGCCTGTCTTTTGCTTATCCCCATAAAAAATTTCTTCGTATCTTTGCGGTAGTGATTACCCACAATTTCAACTCTTAACTTCAACGCCTAAGTGAAAAGTGAGCTTTCTTTGATAGAATAGAATAGAATTAAATTAAAGTCCCTATTGAGTCTACGACTATGAAGGACAAGCTTTCTTTGATAATTTGCTGAAATTTCAACACTTTTATTCTATCCTCCTATGATTTCAGACTTTGATCAAAACGACTATTAACCTCCTCATAAGATTCAGGAAATATTGGGCGCTTCCTGTCATCTTCTTTGAAAGGGTTTCACAGGGTTTTTCACTCATTTTCCTTTGATTCCTGGCATTGACTAAGATTATTTGACCAAAGATATATTAGGAACTGCTGCTAAAATGATAAGCAATGTGATGCACAAGTCATATGGTGGTTTCTAGGGCGGCGAGTCGAGAGGCAGGTGACTCACCAGAATATATGATCCCGGAAAAGAAGCTATCTCATGACACCTTCTACATGCCCTGTCTCGGTCCGTATAGACATGGGGAATTTTGAAGTCGGTAGGTTAGCCGAAAAAAGAATCATCATTGCTTTATGTCTTTCTATGTCTCGTTCAACAAAAAACGGCAAGCAACACAAAAATAATTTCGAGCCAGCAGCTTGGCAGACAATTGTAACCATCAGGCAAAAGAGATGAGCGAACTCGGTATTGAAACATACTCGTATTGGCGGATATCACTGTATCCTCGGATGACTCATGCGGCCCTTGTCACGGATACGATGCAATAATGGTTTTGACATCGCCGATAGTAAGCACAATTAGAATGCATCAAGAACTGAAGATATCGTATCAAGTTGTTTCACACGAGTCCTTGATCTCGCCATTTCGACGTTGCGCTACAATCAAACTAATCACCACCTTCAGCGCCCACGTACCCGTGAACCCCTGATGGTATCACGATCTTGTCGATTAACATTGCGGAACATTACAGTTTGTGCTAATCCATACTGACGTTTTTCTTATGTGCACCTTGTTCCGGCTTTTCTCGCCTGAAATTTCGCTCTACGAGCACCTCTTAACATATGCCCCATCTAAATTCCCTGACACCGCATATAAATGAATTATAATCTGACAATGACGAGATGGCCGAGACAATAAAATTTAACAATTTATTTCGTATTATTTGCCAACAAGTCCTAATATGCTTGTCCCATTTCTGGATATCAGAGTCGACACCACTTCAACCTTGTTCTATCAGCAGCTGGAATTAGTCAATGGACACAATTTCTGACAATTGGGCTACAGCTACGGTTATTATTTACGTACCTTCAAGTTCAAATACTTTGCTGTGACGTATCACCCTTCATGCTCTCACATCGCTAATGACGGGTGCTTGCATAAAGAATTCCGATTGAGGTGAGACTCTCTAAGCTCACAGGCGAGCAAATAAGTTTATTATTCTATGAACAAACGTAGCTTCTAATTGGGAAGCCTTCATGTAGCAAATGCAGTTGAAACATTTGGTAAAATTGGGTCTTGCCTCGAGTAAATAGTCAGTATTTCTATTTAATCTTCAAATGCGATAGAAATTGGTATTCCGGCTCTGTAGGTACCAGTGAGTTAAACGTTGCATTAAGCGTGCTTCAAGTAAGATCTGATGAAGAGAAGGTTTAGACTGGATGTTGTGACATGTAGACCTGGCCGGCAGATGCTAGGAGGCAAGCATCTCGCGGTCACTTGACGCGTGCGCGGAGCTTGGACGCGCAACGCCGTCATTGCGGGAGGGCATCCCTGATACGCCCCGCCTCAAAACTGTTATGGCTCGAGCGTCATCCTCGCAAGGCCCGTTCCGAGCTCCGATGCCACTTCCCGCAAGCAATTCCGACTGGGCCGCGTGAAGCTCAGCGCGGACCTGCGGCGGCGGCCATCCTGTACCAGCACGATCTTGGGCCGTACGCACGTTTGATACTGTGATGGTACAGCACGAATGCAAAGATTCCAATTTATCTCTGAGTCGCGTGAAGCGGAATAGCTGATAGAATTACGGAAAGGTTTTGGGAAGAGCAACAGCTGAGTGAGTGAGTGGGGAAATGATCGAACCTTTCCCATCCTCCCTTCCCACAGAGAAATGCAGCTATATAGAGTCACGTGTAGTAGAATTAGTGATTTTCGACCAAAGTTGCTTGGCAGCGTCAAATAATCTATAAATAAGCTCCCTAAGGGCTTAAGGTCGCGCTAAAGTCGAATGTAGTGTAGTGCGAACTCTTTATAAAGATATTCGCCTGTTTTTTTTGCATCAAATTTTAAATGTGTATGCAGCTTTCTAGCTACGACACAATATCAAAGAAAGGTACATAGTAGATGACTCAATATAACGGAAGAGCATTCATGCCTCGAATTTCATTTGCAAGTACCACTGCAAAGTTATGGCGGCTTTTTCTTCACCCCAAATCAGCCCTCTTCCCTGAGATATTCGCCTTTTTTTTTAAAAATCATTTATTGTGTATTCAGCTATCTAGCTATGACACATGACCGGTGCTATTTATACATGTTGGATGACTCTTTTGACGTTAGAGACACTCATACTCTGGATTTCATTTGCAAATACCACTACGAAGTATGTTCGCTTACACAAACAGTCGACCCTCCTCCGTAAGTACTCACCATAGGGAATTTAAAAACATTTGATTATCCAAGCATGCCTTCGTCATCCATGCATAACAGCGCCGCGAGAAATGTGGTTGTGTTTTGCTGGATTTGAACCAGCGATCTACTGTCTCAAGTGGGATATGTGTCCAAGCTATCCAGACTCTACTTGGCAGACTGGCCAAGACGATGTACCACCGCACCATCCAACCATAGCAGTTTTTATAGTGTCGCCTGCACTCTCGCAGCCGAAGACTTGGCACGCACAAAGCTCAATTTGTAAAAACTCCTTTCCTAAACTCAAAATTCCACGCCCGTCGAGACTGTATCCAATCCTCTGCATCATCTTATCAACTTGTACTGATCCCTCTCACGTCCATACCAAAGAATTGTCTCCCAGATTTGTGCGCCACGCTTTGCTTCCTCCATCGGGTATAAATATCGGCGTGAGCATGTATTTGGTGACCGGCTGAGGCCAGAGAAATTCGAAGAGAGGTGTGATCATTGGAATAAGGATGTACTAGGTCGTACTTGTAGACTTGATGAGGTTTAGGTAGGAATCGATCTCGTTGGGTGTGAAAGATTGAGATGGTGGAGTAATTTGAATTTTTGCCTCGTGGGCCAACTTCTTTGATATTGCGAAATTTGACTGAGCTTGGCTCTGGGAGAATATTTCACTCCCGGTTTCGTAGAGGATACCGCGTATAGGTGTTCAGTCTTGTCCTCTTGCGCCCATTTCATTGCGCGATATTTCCTATAGTTACAACTAAAGTCCCATCCCTGAGGGTACACAGCGACTAAGATTTCATCAAGTGGACTAAGTAATTAAATATGGTTGTACGTAGTATCGTATAATCACGCTCCCCAATAAAACGTTTTAACGATACAAAATAGCGGCACGGAATCACATCATCGTAACGAGTCCGCACTGTAGTAGAGCATGAATTAGAGAGATAGATTGCCCCAGATTTTCCAATGCAACCATCTTCGGCAATAGCCGGCAAAGACGAATTCTTCACCTTCCAGTGGTGCCGGTGTAATCGCTCAGTATGCTCTGCATATCTGGGATAGCCAAGAAGAA